CCCCCCCCCCCCCGGTCCACAAATATTTACTGAACACCTACTGTGTGCTGGCGAGGCCTCTGCCCTCAGCAAACACAAATATAAGAAATTAAATGTATAATTATATGCTGTGATTCGTGCTATAAAAGAACAGAGCAGCAGGAAGAGGGAGCATTAGCGAGAGTATCACAGAGAAAGAAGAATCAGGGAGGGCCCCTGGGGGAGGGAAGGGCTGTGCAAAGGCTCTGGGGCAGGGAAAGGCTTGGCGGTGAACTCAGAATTGGAGCTGGTTAAAATCAGAGAACACTGGGGTTGGAAGAGCTGGTGAAGCTCACGTGTCAGCCTACCAGGCTCAGAGAAGATGCTGAGGGGTTAACACATGTGCACAGACACAAAGGTCATCGGCTGGGTGGGGCAGGGGCTCATCTGAAGCAGATTTCTCAAAGATGGGCTGACCATCTCCCCCAAAGCCCAGGAGCAAAGCAAACGGACTTCTCAAGATCAGGAATTTCAAAGACATTTCCCTCTTGGGTGGATTGTTAGGGAGGGGTCCTTGGTGGGAGCAGGGGTTGCATCTGGTGTGGAAAGCCACCCCAATGGGATGCAGGGGTGCGGGTTTAAGTGGCCAGGGAGGGGGGTCTGCACATGGCCTTTCTCTGGCCTTGGCCTGGGTGACACCTTGCCATCTGGGCACCAGGGGACGGTTGCTCACCGATGGCCTTGCAGGCTCGCTGGCAGACACAGGGCTCTGCTCAGCGACCCAGAAATCTCGGTGACCAGGTGGCCTCCGTGAGGGTTACTCTGAGGGCAGGTCTGGTTTTCAGCCTAAGTGGCTGTGAGATACCACTGAAAGAGCCAGACAGGCTACAATGTCCATCCCTGCCGCCTCCCAGCTGTGTGACCTAGGGCAAGCACCTTCACCTCTCTGGGCCTCAGTTTCCTCATCTTTAAAACAATGCAACAACAGTTCCTGCCTTGTGAAGCCTTTGGGAGGATTAGAAAGAAGGAACCATACAGGGCTGACCGGGACGGCTGGTACACAGTAGGCACTCCAGAAACAGTAGCAACCATGACAGGCTGGTCCGATGAAGGGCTTTGCAGCCAGACCTGACGTGCAGCGGGCAGTCGGACTACTGGTCCATCTTGTTTGCCCTTTCTTGGTTTTTCTGGATTAACATGGAGTCCTCAGTTAAGATGATCTTGCAGGGTTGGTTTTTTTTAACCAAATAAAACCGTAACCAACTAAACAAAACCAAGTCCATTTATAACAAAGTCCCACCAGAGCAAACATTTGCAATCTCCCCAGAAAGCATTTTATCCATGGCAGGGAGGCCTGGGGAATTTTAAGAGGCTGCAGCTCGTGTCTTTGAAAACCACCAGCGTCTTCAGTTTGTCTGGGGCTCTCTCCCCACCAGGGGTACTTTTCCATCTGCCCTCTTGTTTCCCAGCAAAGCCCGAGGCCTGTTTCCCAGCAAAGCCCGAGGCCTCCTGCAAAACAGGAGGTTTCACCTAGAAATGCCGATTCATGGCTGCCTGGGCCCCATTCTTCCCTGGCCAGCAGCCTGGGGCCCGGGGCGGCCGTCTCACATGCAACAGTCATCGGGACAACGTTTGAATTCTTTTTTTTTTTTTTTTTTTTCGCGGACGCCGGCCCCTTTCGCGGTACGCGGGCCTCTCACTGTTGTGGCCTCTCCCGTTGTGGAGCAACAGGCTCCGGACGCGCAGGCTCAGCGGCCATGGCTCAAGGGCACAGCCGCTCTGCGGCATGTGGGATCTTCCCGGACCGGGGCACGAACCTGTGTCCCCTGCATTGGCAGGTGGACTCTCAACCACTGCACCACCAGGGAAGCCCCGTTTGAATTCGTTTAAAAGAATTTATGGGGGCAAAATTCACATAACATAAAACTGACCATTTTAAGGCATAACGCTCCCAGACTTCAGATAATACTACAAAGCTACAGTAATAAAAACAGCATGGTATTGGCACAAAAACAGACATATGGATCAATGGAACAGAACAGAGAGCCCAGAAATAAACCCACACACCTATAGTCAATTAATCTTTGACAAAGGAGGCAAGAATATACAATGGGAAAACGACAGTCTCTTCAGCAAGTGGTGCTGGAAAAGCGGGACAGCTGCACGTAAATCAACGAAGCTGGAACACACGTTCACACCACACACAAAAATAAACTAAAAATGGCTTAAAGACCTAAATGTAAGAGAGGACAACCATAAAACTCCTAGAAGAGCATAGAGGCAAGACATTCTCTGACACAAATCATACCACTGTTCTCTTGGGTCAGTCCCCCAAGGCGACAGAAGTAAAAGCAAAAATAAACAAATGGGACTTAAACAAACTTACAAGCTTTTGCACAGCAAAGGAAACCATAAACAAAACGAAAAGAGAACGTATAGAATGGGAGAAAATGTTTGCAAATGATGCGACCAACAAGGGCTTACTTTCCAAAATACAGAAACAGCTCATACAAATCAACAAAAAAAAAACAACCCAACTGAAAATGGGCAGAAGACCTAAATAGACATTTCTGCAAAGAAGACATACAGGTGGCCAACAGGCACATGAAAAGATGCTCAACATCGCTAATTATTAGAGAAATGCAAATCAAAACTACAATGAGGTACCACCTCACACCCATCAGAATGGCCATCATTAAAAAGTCTACAAATAATAAGTGCTGGAGAGGGTGTGGAGAAAAGGGAACCCTCCTGCACTGTTACTGGGAATGTAAACTGGTACAGTCACAATGAAAAGCAATAAGGAGGTTCCTTAGAAACTAAAAATAGAGCTACCATATGATCCAGCAATCCCACTCCTGGGCATATGTCCAGACAAAACTGTAATTCAAAAAGATACCTGCACCCCTATGTTCAGAGCAGCACTACTCACAATAGCCAAGATGTGGAAACAACCAAAATGTCCATTGACAGAGGAATGGATAAAGAAGATGTGGTACATATACACAGTGGAACACTGCTCAGCCATAAAAAAAACAATGAAATAATGCCATGTGCAGCAACATGGATGCAACTAGAGATTATCATACTAAGTGAGGTAAGTCAGAAAGAGAAAGACAACTACCGTATCATATCACTTATGTGCGGAATCTAAAATATGACACAAGTGAACATATCTCGGAAACACAAACAGACTCTCAGACATAGAGAACAGACTTGTGGTTGCCAAGGGGGAGGGGACTGTGGGAGCTTGGGGTGAGCAGCTATGTCTTTGCATAGAGGATGGGTAAACAACAAGGCCCTACTGTATAGCACAGGCAACTATATTCGATATCCTGGGATAGACCAGAATGGACAAGAATATGAAAAAGAATATATATGTACAACTGAGTCACTCTGCCGTGCAGCAGAAATTAACTGTAAATCAACTACACTTCAATAAAAAAGAAAAGAAGAAAAACAATTGACCATTTTAAAGTAGACAATTCAGTGGCATTTGGTACCTTCACAGTGTTGTGTAACCACTACCTCTGTTTAGTTTCAAAGCATTTCCATCATCCCCCCAAAAACCCCAGACCCAACATCACTCCCTCCCCCTTCCGCAGCCCCCAGCGACCATTCACGTACTCTGTCTCTATGGATTTGCCTGTTTTGGACACTGCTTGTGGACGGACTCACACGCTGTGCCTGGCTTCCTCACTCAGCATGTCTTCGAGGCTCATGCGTGGTGGAGCAGGTCACGGCTGAGAAACACCCCATCACATGTTTGTATACACATAACAAGCATCCACCTCAACGCCACGTGGCAACCCCGTGTCAGAGGGGGCCTTCACCCCAGCCGTGCTCGCCTGCTCCGGGCCTGTCCCCTCTCCCCCAGGCCCTGCTGGCTTTCTGCAACCCCATGGGCTCCTCAGATGAGCAGCAAACATCCTCCCAGGAGCAGGGTCTCAGGTGGGTGAGAGACCTGCCAGTCCGTGTCCTGGGTGTCCCGTACGTGTACTCACACACACACGTGCACACGTATGTAGCATAATGGCCCCATCCTGCAGTTTGGCACTTTGCTGTTTTTCACTTAACGATGTATCTTGGAGGTCGTTCCAAACCAGAGGCAGCGCCACCTCCTCTCGTTCTTGGCTGCAGGCTACTCCACCACACGGCTCTCCCATACCTAACGGGGTGCGGGCCCTTGGCTCTGACCCCCACGTGGAGACAGCCCTGCCAGCACTCCCGCACCCAGCGTGGCCACGCCCTGGCCCCGTGCAGCCTGGAAAGGGAGGTCTGAGACATCCTCGCCACTTTCCTGGCCTCAAATCTCTCAGGGCCAACACTTGATGTGCCCTCGTTTTCCCAACACGTGACTTGGCATCCGTACTCTGTAGACATGGTATAGATGCTTGTTAATCACACACATGGAAAAATGAACGACTACTTTTCACACACTGCTTAAGGCCTGGCTCAGTCACCACCTCCTCCAGGGAGCCTTCCCTGGTCACCCCAGGCTGGGTTAGGCCCCCCTTTAAGCCCACAGGCCCCGAACTCTTCATCAAAGCAAATACGCCCACTGGGTGAGACTGTCAGCGATCACCCCGGCAGCTACTATTCCTCGGGTATCACCAGGAGTTGGCGGGACGCCCGGCACGGAGTGGTGAATGGACAGCCGGCGGATGCCTGGTGCACAGGGAGGGAATGCACGGAGGCCCACAGCTAAGCGTGCCTAGCAGGTTCGGTTTCCTCCGAGCCCTGTGCCGTGAGGGGGCAGGTATAATCACGGCCACTTCGCGGATGAGGAGGGCG